TGTCTATCATTTACAGAATCTCGCAGTAAGGCAGTTATATTAAATAGAGATCATTTGATAAATCCAATATTTCTGATATATTCCCATGACAAGTGTAATAAACACAATTATTATAAAAAATATGTGCAGTACATTTAAATTTTTTGTTCAAAATCCTTACATGAATGATAAATGAAATATATCAGTTCTAGTCAGTAGCATGACACAATTTTCTAATCACTCACACAACATGCTTTAATTGTACAGTTCTGCAGTGTCAATTATTTATTTATTTTTAATTTTTAAATTTTAATTTTTATATTTCTGATTTGATGTTTAACAGAGCAAGGTCCTTTTCACAATAATTCCTATAATATTTTTTTCTTTTAGTGAAAGTCATTTTTTGTTTGGTTTCACTGGAATATTGTTTTTAAAAATGATATTCTAGGTCAGTAGTATTAGCCTTCTTTTTTTTATTTAATCTTTTATTTATTTATTGATTAGTTTTATTTCAATTGGCTACTTAACAAACCACTGTTGGCCAATGACTTGCCTAATAACTTAAACTAATAAATGTAGTTAATATACTGATTTTACTGAATATTAGTATCTTGCGAAAAAACGAGTAACATATTCTTCATGGTATAGACAAAAAAAGGTTATCGACGGTTAATTAAATTAGCCATTAAAACTATCATGTTTTAAAAAATGTTAAACAAATCTTCTCAGCTTGGTAAATATCTTTAAAAGAATTCATATTTCACAATAAGGCTAATAATTTTGACTTCAATATTTACACTTGAATCTTCCATCAAAATAGCTTTCGATATGAATTTGTGAACATCATTTTTATGACTGTGGTCTGCATGATCCCTCAGGTTCTTATACAGCTGTGTATCTCGCATTAACCCTGCCTGGGAAGAAGAAGTTTTACGAGGAAGCTTTTTGTCAACAACTCCTGTCTGTGGTTTGGACATGGAAAGAATTTTTTTTTAACGTTCACCTCACATGCAGTCGGGCCCCCGGCCCCCCATGGGGAGGTGAACGACAGAGTTTAACCTTCCATGTGCTTTTCATTTGTTAAGCATCACACATCAGCGTGCGACTCACACATGCGCTGCTGTACATGATATACGCTGTCAGCTCGTGTGATCCGTGAGTTATATCTGCACCTGAAAATCTGCCAGCGCTTACAGCTCTCAGTGCGTTCCTCTTTTCAGCAGCTGTTAAAGATGGACCCACTGAGGAATTTCATGACCCTTCACACTGCTTGTAAAAGCGTTAACTGCATAAACACACACGTTTTTTTTGTTTTTGGCAAAACAAGGAAATATCAAAGATGACTTATTGTTTAGTGCAGAGATGTGGCAAACTAGGGCCCAAACTTTGATTTGGCACCCCAAGAAAAATGAATGAATTCACTGAAATTAAACTTAATTTTATTATTATTTTTAAAAGCCATTTAGGGACTAAGAGTTGCTAAGGGTCAAAGTGAATCAACCCATGTCTGCATCAATTTAAATAGACAAAAGTGATTTTTAATACATATAAAGCACATCGAATGCAAGTCAAGTGTGTACTTTAATACTTCAAATAAATATTTCAAAGTAAAATGTCAATATATGGTCAAATAATAAACTTTCCAACATGTTTATATATTACTTATTTGTATTCATATTTTATTGGTTCAAATGAATTAAATGATTAAAAACTGATTTTTTCTTGCTGATATATGAATGAAATCTTGTTTGAAAGATTTCAAAGTGTAAACATTAAAATAAAGAATTAACTAGTATTTTTAGCTGCACTGTGATCCTTAAATGATCTTTATATAATATTGCAGCAGATCTTTTGTAGATCATGGTACAAATGTATGATAATCAATACTTTTTGTTTAGAGAAATATAATAACTATGCATTATAATGTACAAAAAAAAACAAAACAAAAAACAAACGACAACAACAACAACAACAACAACAACAGCAACAACAAAAAAACTAAAGGGGTTGCATGCATTTTTATTTACATCCATATTTTCATTTCTGACCCATCAACTTTTTTGAGTTGAATTTTAACCGGCAATCCAAATTCTCATTGCAATAGCTGATTTTTTTCCCACCTTAAAAATGCAGTAGGCTAATAAAAAATTATTTATGAATTGTTTTTCCAATTGAGGACATTTCCAGATGTCTCCGAAGGGAGCTTTTGTCTGATTTAGCTCATGTCTGAGGTCTTATTTGTCCCCAAAGCATCTCAAAGCAAACTCACCCATATATTTAAAATTAAATACCGTCTCCTTAAAGAGACAGTTCACCTCAAAATTAAAACTATAGCCAATGTTAAACCTTTAAGAGTTTATTTTTTTCTGTAAGTCTTAAAAGAAGCTCTTTTGAAGAATTCTTGTTGCTATCTACTTTCATTCATTTTCTTTTCGTCTTAGTGCCTTTATTAATCAGGGTCGCCACAGCGGAATGAACCGCCAACTTATCCAGCACATGTTTTACGCAGCAGATGCCCTTCCAGTCGCATCCCATCTCTGGGAAACACCCATACTCACCCATCCACACTACAGACAATTTAGCCTACCCAGTTCACCGGTACCGCATGTCTTTGGACTGTGTGGGAAAGCGGAGCACCCGGAGGAAACCCACGCGAACGCGGGGAGAACATGCAAACTCCACACAGAAACGCCAACTGACCCAGCTGTGACCTAGCTCTTGCTGTGATGCCACAGCACTACCTACTGCGCCGCCGCGTCACCTGCTGTCAACTTTCATAATAAAAAAAAATACTATGGAAGTCAATAGATGCCACCCATCAGCATTTTTCAAAGTATCTTCTTTTGTGTTCAAGTCAAGAAACTCAAATAGGTTTTAAATAATGGCTGAATAATGACAGAATTTTCATTTTTAGGTGAACTATCTCTTTAAATGATATTCTTCTTCTCTCAGCACACTTGTTTCCTATATTTCTCTCCTCCTCTCTGTTATATATGAACATCAAATTCTGATAGAAACCACCCTCAAGCTGAGATTTTACTTTTTTTTTCTTGTTCTTCTGGCTTTGCTCTCTTTCCAAACACACAACTCTGAGTTGTTTTCAGGAAAATGTTAAAGAAACGACTCCTCCTCCTCTTTGGTTTTGCACTGGGGAAGGGAAGGCTTTAAAAGGAACCATGTGTCCGGCAGGATGGGGAATAATTTGACTGGACAAAGTCAGTGGGCTGGTCGCTCGACCGGTTGGTTGCTGATCTTGAGGGTTTTCTTTCTGAACCAGGCTGGTTTTGATTAATGATTAGCATAGGGAGGGAAAACTGAAGTGTTTTTGGCCTATCATGCGGTGTATGAGACACTGATGGGCACACTCATCGGTCTGTCACTGTAGTGAATTAGATACGGCCGTCCCAAGACGCTGTGTGAGAGCCGGAGAAATCCTCACCACCGTCACTGAAGCTGATGAGCGTTATTCTCTGAATTGAAGACTTTATAGTTGTCATTACGTTTAGTTCGGTATGTTGAGTTGGTTCCACATCACAGAGCTCGCAATGAAAGCAAATACACTGGTGGAGATGGTGGAGTTTGAAAGATATGGGAGTGTAAGTTATCCCAGGTGTGTTCAAAATGGAGAAAAGCTGTTTAAATGTTATTTGACATCTTTTTAACAAGCTTGTTTTTTAGGTATCAAACTGCATGAATGTCAAATATTATGCGACTGTTAATGTTAAAGGGATAGTTCACAATTCTGCCATCATTTACTCACATTTACTCATGCCTTTTATTGCTGTTGATCCTAAAACAAGATGTTCTGAAGAATGTTGGGGGAAAACAGCTATTGACTTCCATGGTATTTTTTGTCTCTACATATATTATTAATACTATTACTTTTGTGGGTGGTATAACTTATGTTTACATTTTTTTTATCGCACAAAACAAAACATTCAGTTGGCAAAGCGAGATTATAAAATTTGTAATGAAACTGAAACTCTCAATTAATAGTGTGCATACTTTTATTTTCACAAATGTTATCTGAAATATTAGACACTTTATTTGCTGTACTTCACATACAGTAGTCACTTGAGTAAAAGAAATCATTTATTATCCACGTATGAAATTGCAACATAGCCACAAAACTTAAGAGATAGTTCACAAAAAAAAAGAAGAAAAAAAAAGAAAATGTCCTCACCATTTACAGTGCAGGCACTCAAGTGGTTTTAAACTATTCTGTCAAACATTAAACCGGATGTTCGGGGAAAACCAGCCATTGACATCCACACTGTTAAAATGCAGGGTTCCACCCAATTCATTCAACTTGTCCCACCACAAATTGATTAATCTTCTAAACTCTGCGTATACGCAGTACCGGGTCTGTGACGTCATTCTTCAAATTCTAAGGGTCCGTACTGGCCCAATATCCCCATAAGTGGTTCGGTTCTCTCATCAGTTGGAATAGAATAACTTTTGCATAGATTATGATAGAGACATTGTTCTTTATCCTTTGATTACTGACATGTGCAGGAACCAGCTAAATTAATTACAGCAACCTAGACCACACAGAACCTAAAAGATACACTTTCAAATGTGAGTTTACGAAAAAAGCACCTCTTTTTGGAGGGGTTATTCTAAAAGAGACAACATATACAATTATTTAAATCACTTTCAACAGTTTTTTAATAAAAATTCAAAGGGTTTTTTTTTTTAATGATACCAAACCTTTGCATTTACACCTCTGCATGTGGATTTGGGATACTTTTAAATTTGGCAGGCAAAATGCCGACAGAAACCCTTAGATAGCACTTGACTTAGGGTGCTTTCACACTAGCACTTTTGGTCCGCACCCGGGTCGTTTGATGTCAGAATATGGTATGTTTAGCTAAAGGGTATATACAGAACTTTTAAAGTTGAATTTCATACCCTTTACTACCTTTTTTAATACCTTGAAAAAAAATTTAATACCAGCACAACTTAGAGTTGCAACTATAGTGGCGTAAATGAACTAAAGTGTTGTGTTGTTGTGTGTTTAGGTGATGGGGCTGTTGAATCCAGGCGCAGTTCCTCATCAGCCGCAATCTGATTTCGCCCTGTCTCCGCTGACGGGCGGTTTGGAGCCCAGCACAGGCATGCCCGCCAGCTGCCACTCCTCTCAGAGACTGGAAGCTCTGCCAGGCCTTCCCAGCATGCCAGCTCTGCCCAGCTCCCAGTCCTACTGCCCGTCCAGCTACAGTTCACCCGGGTACAGCGTCGACCATGTGGCGTCTTACCAGTACAGCCAATATGGGCAGAGCAAGGTGAATACCAGCACTGTTACTACTGTAGAAAGACTGTCACGTGTTTATCCTCTAAAAAGGGCTTCATTTGGATTGGTGGAATAAAGCAAAATATTACTTAATTGAATTGCTCTCAATAATGTCAGAAGATTATTTATGTTCATGAGACTTTGTCAAAATTTTTTGCAACATACTATGTAGTCTTAATTATGTGGAAATTTTTACACAACATTTACATCATTTTAACCAAAGAACCAAAATGCAATTAGCCACCTTGTTCAAATCTATATGATATTTTGGAAAGATGTTCTACTTGGTTATACACTGTAAAAAGTGATTAGTTACTTGATTAAAAAAAAAAAAAATTGAGGTAACCTGTTACCTTAAAAGTGACAAGTTGACTTTGAGTAAACCTGTTGTAACGCAGAACTGTTATTATTACTCACATAGTTCATTTACCTAAATTTTTTTAACCTCTTAAGACCAAAGGTGTTTTTTTTACATGCATTTTTTATTTCTCTTTGCTATTTGGGCTCATTGGAACCTAATTAGAATAAAAACCTAAGTATCATCTTTTGATATGATTATATGTGGACCGAATTTACATAAAACACTTTTTTTCTGAATGTTTTTTAATGCATATTTAACATCTAATTTTTTTGGACATGTTTTGACTATCAGAGAGTAAAAACAACATTCCTTTTTCCATTTTGGACACTAAAAATAGTGTTTCAGGCAGTTCATATGCCGCAAAACAGTTGCAGTATGGCCCTGTATGCAGTATGGCCACTGAGTTGCAGTATGGTCTGTAACAAAATATAAAACATTCAAAGTATTTTAAATTGCCACTTCAGAGCTAAAATGTGCGGTCCACGTATAATAGTAACAGGTTCACTCACTTTTTTAAGTCAACTAATTCCTTTTTACAATATCAAAAGCGACAGATTATTTTCATTATTCTGACATATGTTTGGGTGTTAACAAACATTGAAATAAAACAAATTAAAATATAACGAGACAAGTTCATGGTCACTGTTTTGGTGGTCTGTTTGTTGAATTTAAGCTACATTGCATTTACATGCCAACTAATTCTCATTAGATTATAAGTAGACTGTTAGGTTGGGGTTAGGGTTAGTGTAAGTGACATGTACTTGAAAAGTTTCTTATAGCCAGTTAAATGTCTGTTTAGCAGCAGTATCAACAGATATTAAGCAGACAGTCTACTGATACTGAAATGGACCATCAAAATAGTTGAATAAACAAAGTTTATTTTATCAACTGTTGATTGGATCTGATCTAAATAAAAACTTGCAGATGATTGTAAGAAAACGCAAGGTTTAAACAAAGTAAAAGATTATTTTAAAACAGTATATTTATGCATTATGCGTGTCCAAACTGACATACAAAACAGTAAATGCAATTCGAAAAAGATCCAAAAACAATATTTTTAATTTTTTTTTTTACAATGCCAGGTTTATTGGATAGCAAGCCAGGCTTAGAGAGTTAAGTGATATATAATTAATAAAGTTAAATATTTATTTACTTAAATGTAAAAAATATCACTAGTTATATATATATATATATATATATATATATATATATATATATATATATATATATATATATATATATCAAAGATTAAATCGCAATTAATCACTTCCAAAATAAAAGTTCATGTTTGTATATAGTTGGTATTGATTACACAAATTATATATATATATATATATATATATATATATATATATATATATATATATATATATATATATATATATATATATATATATATACAGTACGTCTGCACTGTAAAACCCAACAGTCAACTTTAGCAAATGAAATGAGTGTAGTTAACTCAAAATGCACTGAAAGTTAATTCTACTCATAAGAAACGAGTTTTGAACTCAGTGTTGAAGGTAAAGAGTTAATTAAATACCTCACTAAATACAGTAGGTTAACAGTACTCTTATAGATTAGTATTGTATTACTTAAAATGGTTTGTTGCAATTGGGTTCCTTAAATGGTTTGAGTTGCCTTAACTTATTGGGTTTTAAAGTACTCAATTGGTTTGAGTTCTCTTCATTTATTTGGTTTTACTGTTCTCAAATGGATTAAGTTCACAGTACTCATTAGGACTACTTTTTGAACTTAAATGGTTTGTTGCAATCGGTTTCCTCAAATGGTTTGAGTTACCTTAACCTTTTGGGTTTTACAGTGTGTGCATTTAATCATAATTAATCGTTTGACAGCACTCTAAAATGACTTAGAAATGATAAAAATCTACTCTTTACCTAGATTTGTTTATTCTAAATCCAGCCATAATGAGAGCTTCTTAATTTATTTTTAATTTGTTTACCTTTTTGTTACATTTACAACACACATTTTACAGTATATTCACTGCACTAGTCCACATTCCTTTAATGAAATGTTTTTTTTTTTTTAAGTGGTTGATTCCAAAAAGAAATACGATCATCCAAACGTCAACTCAGATTATTTTCATCGACATATTTGCCTTCTAATCACCAGTGTACATTAGCCAGTCAAAAGTGCGCAGGTTGCTGGTTTATGATGGCTAACCCGTGACCTCTCGCGACCCCGTGAGATGAGCTATATCTCATCAGCCAGCCATGTAATGAGCTCCGGGTAACAAAGATCTCCTTCTCCGTCCACTCAAACACATGCGACCAGAGCGGCAGCGGGCTCTGGATCCCGTGTTTGACAGAAGCCGCTTCTCAATCCCCGTCTGCATCTTGATGTCATTAATTTGCAGGGCCTGTAAGCACAGAGCTGGGGGTCCGCCGAGGAGTTTGCGGGGGTCTGGAATGGCCCGTGGCAGGGTGGTATTAGAAACATGTGTTGCAGACGGGTCAGATCTGGAGATGCTGTTGATCACTGACTCTGATCCACGCTGGATGTAGGACTCTTTTCACTGGCCAGCGCTCTTTCTGTCAGCTCGCTCAATCATTTGCTGCATTCTCACTTCATTTTCTTGGCAAATGTTGATGATATAATAATACTGATTTCTGTTATTCTCCGTTATTGTGCCAGACACCACTAGGAGGCATCAGTATACTTCTTTATAATACCTTATAATAACTTGTAATTCATTACATATTTTATACATATGTACACATATTTATATATATATTTATACATATTTACAGGCAAAATGGCTAGGAGCAAGCTTATTTTTTACAATATTTAACAGTATTTCATATATTGATAATAATAATAATAATAATAATAATAATAATAATAATAATAATAATAATAATAATCTCATCTCAATAATTTTCATCCACTTTTCCGGGGCCGGGTCGCGGGGGCAGCAATCTTAGGAGAGAACTCCAAACTTTGCTCTCCCAAGACACATCCTCCAGCTCCTCTGGGGGGATCCTGAGGTGTTCCCAGGCCAGCCGAGAAACATAGTCCCTCTGGCGTGTCCTGGGTCTTCCCCGAGGCCTCCTCCCAGTGGGACATCGAAACCGATGGCCAAACCACCTCAGCTGACTTCTCTCGATGTGGAGGAGCAGTGGCTCTACTCTGAGCTCCTTCCAGGTGACAGAGCTCCTCACCCTGTCTATAAGGGTGCACACTGCCACCCTGCAAAGGAAACTCATTTCAGCTGCTTGTATCCGAGATCTTGACCTTTCGGTCATAACTCAAAGCTCATGACCATAGGTGAAAGTAGGAACGTAGATTGACCAATAAATTGAGAGCTTTGCCTTTTCAGCTTCTTCTTTACCACAACGGACCGATACATCGACCGATACATTATAATATAATATAATATATTATAATATAATATAATATAATATAATATAATATAATATAATATAATATAATATAATATAATATAATATAATATAATATTAGTCAAATCTGCTATATTCTGCAACTTGTAAAACTACTAAAATTTTAGATTTAATCTGTTGTAACCCGTTTACAATTTTCTGTTACGTATATTCAATTGAGGTTTTTTAGTTAAATAATTAAATGCGAATTCAGTTTATTTTTATGTAATATCGGTTTTCATTATCACTAATAATGTATTACAGTATTGTCATTTTGCTTTTGGTATTATTTTTATGCTTTTACAATTTAAATTTCAGTTCACATGCACTGAAAAAAATATTCATTGGATTTATTAATTGTTTTGAAGTTAAGTGTGTGCAAACAATTTATATGGACTGAATTTAAGCAAACTAATTAAGTTGCATTCATACACATAGCAAAATTGTATTTGTTTGTTTAAATTCAGCCCATATAAATAGTTTGCAAGCACTTACCTTGAAAAATTTTTTTTTCAGAGATGTACAGTATTTATAACATCATTCAAGTAAAAGATGTTTTTTTTTAAGTAAGTTTTTTTTAACAACCACTTTATCCTGCTTATTACATGGCAACCTGCCACAAAACATAAAAAATAGTCATAACACATTGTTCTGATCCACAGTAGTTAATATATTCTTTAATTAAAAGCAAAGCTGACAGAAATGATTATGGCTGAAATGCAACATACCAACCTAAGTATTATAAAGTCTCAAGATGGCGCCAAACAGCCGCGTGACAGAAAACCATAGAAACGTATTGTAAACGTATTCACTGATAGTCAGGATAATTCAAACATTTTTAGCTGTTGATATTCAGAAATGACATACCTTGTCGTGACTAACCAATCAGAATCAAGTATTTCAGAGATAATATACATTTAAAGGACTTGAGAAAGCCAACATACTGTAATGCTATTTAAGCATATTTTTTTTAATTATTCTTTCTTTTAGGAACAAACGTATCTCCTCCTAGCGCTTTAAGTCTACAAGCCCCAAATTTGGCCAAAAGCTGTGTTCTGTGTTACTGTTTGTTGCTATACCATTTCCAACAAGGCCAAGTTTCGCTTTTTTAAAAACTAAAGCGGAAAGCTTGGAAAAATCATATTGACTTAACATGGGATCAAACTTTGACCCAACATAACTCTAAACAAGATATTCATAAAAACACATGATCTTACACAATTGAAGAGGTTGTCAAGCTGTGCGAAACTGCATATTAAATTGGGGTGTAAGTTGTACAACTGGTGCACAAAAGCGCCCCAAATTTTACACCTTCAAAGTCCCATTAAAAAATAAATATAAAAAAACTTGGAAAAACCTCATTGACTCAACATGGGGTCAAATTTTCACCTTCATCAACAGCACCCCCCGTTTTCCATTGGCTCTTCACCTTCACCAAGCCAACATCAAATTTTGTCAATTAACTTCTTTAGCTTCTAGTTTTATTTTAGGTTTGACTGAAACAGGATAACAGGGTGGGACATATGGTAGCTCCTCCCCTTTATATAAAAAAACAGCCAATAGCGTTTTGTTTTATCACAGCTCTGCCAATAAGAGTGGTGGAGCTCAAGCGCATCAAATTAAATGCAAATGGTAAGCTTGAAGTGGGCGGGACATGTCAAATACTATAGAGCAGGGGTGTCAAACTCAATTCCTAGAGGGCCGAAGCCCTGCACAGTTTAGTTCCAACCATGCTCCAACACACTTACCTGTAGGTTTCAAACAAGCCTGAAGGACTTAATTAGTTTGATCAGGTGTGTTTAATTAGGGTTGGATCTAAACTGTGCAGAGCTGCGGCCCTTTTGGAACTGAGTTTGACACCTGTGCTATAGAGCATTTTAATGGTCAGTGGTTTGATGCCAAACTAAAGTATAATCTGATATCCAAAAAACGGTTGAGTGACAAACTGCAAGCTTTTTATGTTCATATCAGGTTTATATCTTTTGTTTTGGAGCACACTAGCTAACAGATACCCTTAAAACTAACATACTGATGCTAACATCTTAAAAACTTGATTTTAATTTGACCAGACCTTTAATCTAATCTGAATTTAAGCCTCTGCCTTTCTCTTTCAGGTGCCTTTCATCATCTGAGACCTCCACATTGGCTGAATGAAGAATGACAGGAAGGAGATGGAGAGATCCGTGGATGATCTGACCGCAAACTCCTGCACTTGAGCTCTCCTTCACCTCTTGAATGTTTGACCAAAATGATCATCCTTCCTGAAACTCGCACTCTGCCTCTCTGTCCGAGTGAGCCTTGCTGAGGATCCAGGGATAACGGTGATCTGTGTTGCTTTTAACAAAGGGGACAATGTGGACGAGGTTGGGTTGGGATTAGAACCAGAATCGAGGACTAGTTTTACCATTTAGACCTGGAGGAAACAGACCCCTCTGTATATATACAGCTTATATATATATATATCCCATTTTAGAGCATCACATATTCTGATGACACTCGCCGCCTCCTTCACGAAGAGCATGAGGACACATGGAGGACAAAGGGAAAGGACAAACAAACATCTCTAAGATTGAGACTGTGCTTATAAACAGCACGGAATGGCAGGGAAGAGTGTGGCGCCATACTCTGATTTCAGCTGTCCACTGACGGACGCACTTTACTGGCTGGTTTGTGACCCAACTCGACGGTGACTCTTTTAGCTGAGACACATTTTGCTGATGTATTTAGGAAATAAGGGCTCCGGAAATGACAGATGTGCCAACTTTTCCTTATTTCTTGCTTGTGAATAAAAGACTGACTCCATAAGAACATGTTGACTTTCAGCACAACGCTCTCAGGCCTTCTTCGTAGAGAGGAAGAGGGGCGACCTGAAAGGAATGCACTCAAGTGTCCGATGGCATTCAGAGAGATAGACGGACTAAACGAAAAAGTGTGACCCTTTTATTACTAGTTCATCTGAGCACACACACACACACACAAAATACCATATTATTAGACAGACGTCAAGTTCAGAATGGAATATTACTATACTTCATTTTGCATACTGTGTACTGCAGTATATACTATGTTTAGGAAACAGAAGATTTTTCGCAGTGATGAATAGTTGAAATTATAGTATTTCCTTTTATTAAAAGAAAACATTTTGGCAGCGAGATGAAATGAGTTAAGAAAAGACATTGAAATGTAATTTGAAGGTCCGGTCATGTGCATTACAGTAGCTACGTTTCCATCCAAAGTCAAATAATTTAAATCACCATTTTAATGCAAAAAAAGGGCTTCAACTGGGGAAACCGCTGTGGCTTTCTAGTTCCTGAGTAATAATATGGGTGTCTGAAAGGATACTGATTGCCTTCAGTAATGTCCAGCCTGATCTCATGAGAAGATGCAAGTATTTTTTACGTTTTATCAGTTTAGTGGCGAATTCGTACGAGTTCAGTCGTACAAAAATGTAAGATTTTAAAAAATAGGCATGGCACCCAACCCCACCCCTAAACCCAACAGTCATTGGGTGACGAGCAAATTGTACTAAATTGTTCGAATTAGACCGTAGGAATTCATATGAATTAGCCACTAAATCAAAAAGTTACGAATTGCCATGAGATTGCGTTTGTAATACCACAGTTGTATTTTTATAACCGTGCAAGCTATATTATCAAGTATGTCATTCATTGTTTAAAAAACAAACAATACCACATCTTGACAGTCTAAATCCATATACATTGCGTTCACTATGAAAGTGTTTTCAAGCCAATCTTGAGCAGAATGTCTTGGAACCACAAGAACTTAATTTTTACAAAAAAAGCTTGAATGAAATTAAGCAAATTTATTATTATTATTGTTATTATTATTATTATTATTATTATTTTTTTTTTACAAATTTAAGTGGATTGAACATAAAAAAATTTAGGTTGTCCCCAAAATCTCAAGAACTGTGTTGTTTCAGCTTATTTAAAAAAAAATAGGTTGAACCAACAGCAAAGGTCATTTTTTTGAGTGAAAGACATGTTCATAAAAACAGCTATTGCTTTATTTTTAAACAAATCTCTTGTTTTTTTTTTACAGACTGTTTGAAGAGCAATTCAATGACTCACTCATCACTCATTAAAGAGTTAGTTTACATTAAAATCGAAAAGAATTATAATTAATTACTCATCCTCATGTTGTTCCAAACCCTAGAAACCTTTGTCCGTCTTCAAAACACAAATGAAGATATTGTAGATGAAATCTGTGAGCTCCCTCATTCTACACAGACAGTTCCCGACTCATTCATACGCCTTCAGTGGTTCAATCAGAATATTATGAAGCTCCGAGAATACATTTGTGCGGACATAAAACAAAAATAACAACTTCATTCAACAGTTTCTCCTCCTCAGTGTCAGTATATTGCGCACATTTATGAACACTGTATGTAAATTTTTGTTTTATTTGTGCACAAAGGTTTTCTTGTTGCTTGATAATATTTCAATTGAATCACTGTAGGCATAGGGTCAGCTTTAAAGATGTTTTTGGTATTTGTCTGGACTATATATATATATATATATATATATATATATATATATATATATATATATATATATATATATATATATATATATATATATATATATTTATATATTTATTTATTTTTTTTTTTCCCAGAGATGGGTTGTGGCTGGAAGGGCATTCGCTGCATAAAAATGTGCTGAATAAGTTGGCGGTTCATTCTGCTGTGGCGACCCCGGATTAATAGAGGGACTAAGCCAAAAATAAAATGAATGAATGATATCCATGCATCCATCCATACATATATATATATATATATATATATATATATATATATATATATATATATATATATATATATATATATATAATTATTTTTTTAAGGGTAAGTCGTTGCAAACTATTTATATGAGATGATTTTAAATGAACAAATTAAGAGTTAAAGTCAGCCCATATAAATTGTTTACCACCACTTACATTAAAATAATAATAAATGTATTAATCTTATAAATTTGTTTCAGTGTATGGAGGATGAGAGAGCTCCCAGATTTCATCTAAAATATCTTAATTTGTGTTCAGAAGATGAGCAAAGGTCTCAGGAGTTTGAAACAACACAAGTAATTAATTACATAATTAAAATTTTTGGGTGAACAAACCCTTTAAAGCAACACTATGTAACTTTTTATTGCTCGCTGCTCCCCCTTGTGGTTGGTAAGGGGAACTGGCTGTTAATAATTTTAGACACATTACTATAAAGTCAAAAACACAACATAGTGTTGCTTTAAAGCTTTGTGTCCAGTGGTCACTTTTGTGGTTCAATTTTTTGGCCACTGAGAGTGAGACGCTTAATAGATACAGATAATTTGTATATGGATAAATTTTTTTTATAAAAATCATTTTAATGCCATTTTTGTTACAATTACTGCGTGTGGTATTTGTCCTGCTCCTCCGCTATGATTGGATGGCTGGGTCAGAATTTACATTGACAACTCTCAGCACCTGGAAAAAAAAGAGCTGAAACAGATGCTCAGCGCTTTGTTTTTAAATCTTGCTGGTGTTTTTTTTTATTTACTATTAAAAATGTGCTTGCTCCGTGAGCTTTACCTACATGGATGGAAACTTGGCTATTGTGGAGAAAATTCCAATCAGTGCAGTGGCGAATGTAGCAGGTTATCTAGTTAGTTTTGCGTGCAGAAAATGTTCTTACTAATTATACACGGTGCAAAGTGCAGAATATAGGTTGTATGGTGGTACACCATTCTGAACATTCATAGACACGCCACGAAACGAACCCAATGAAAGTGCAATACACACTCAATACCTCATTAAACACTCATCTGTTCTCACTCGCTCACAAAATCATCTGTCCTTAAACTCTGTTCTGATTGTTTTTCGTGCAAGAAAAGATTTCAGATGATGCAGTGTTTCGTAATGTGGATGGATGTCACCTTTATTTTGACTCTGCAGATGAGTAGGACTGAGAGCTTTCTTTGTTCTGTCTCTGTAACACAAAGTTCATCTGTTTCCACATCTTAAGAAGTTTTTTTACCTTGTTTTTTATACTTGTATGTTTTGTTGTTGTTGTTTTTTGGTTCTCGACTGCATATAATTGTTGATGAATAATGTGTAAAATGCAGCACTATTTACTATTTATAAGAAAAAAAATAAAGTAATTTCCTTCAAGCTTTTTGTTTTGGATTATTTAAACTAAATCCTTTGCATTCATAAACATAATAAAAAAACATGCATTCCCCCCACCAACCACCCACCAGTGCTATCCAACAATAAACGTAGGTACTAAAGGCATAGTAGCTTAGTAAACATTAATCACAAGTTGACAAAACCTTGTCTATTAGGGTATATCTGATGTAGTGTACCTGTTAACTGTGTCAGACATAATTTAAGAGTTGGAATTTCTTTTTCTTCCAAAACAAAAGGATACGTTTTTTGGCAGAGATCAATCCATATGAAACAAACTGTTGTTGTACCCGTGTAAGTCTCAAAAACTCTTCATAAACTCCAAATATAATTCATCATATATGATCTGGTTCAATTGGAATGTCTAAATTAACTAAAAACTGTTCTGTTTGTTCCAGAAACTCTGTAATTTGGGACACAACATAGATATGAGACAGGTTGGAATCTAAAAACTGACATTTGTCACACACTAGGGACACTTCTGGAAATATTGTATTCAATTTACACTTGGAATAGCAGCCCTAGCATATATATATACACATACATACATGCATACATACATACACACACACACACACAAATATATATAGAGAGAGAGAGAGAGAGAGAGAGAGAGATTTTGTTCAGTCTTTTTGGGCTCATATTGTATGACTAAACAAAATATATACTTGCATAATTATACAAATTAAACAACTAAGCAAGTCTCAGTTAACTCAGTAATAATAATAGCTTGTACTGTTAGTCAGTTACACTCTACAGTCCGGTTTTTTAGTTAATGTTACTCACATTATTTGTCTTTGTTGGCATCAGTTAAAGGGATAATTCACACAATTTCCCCCTTTTAATATTTCTTCCACACTTGTTTGTGATAAACATCAAATTAGATTACTTTTTGGACTAATTTAACATCATTCCGCACCTGTAAAAAAACAAACTATCTATGATTTTAACTGAGCATGACCGTTTGGGATAACTATCAGAATTATTTAGCCTTGAGCTTCATGAAAGAACTTTTATTCATTTAGAAATATATTCGGTTTCATAAACACTCTTACATGCAAAGTCCCTCTCTCCAGGGAGCTTTTAACAGGGATAATGACTAAAGCAGAGCGCTTTAAACCTCCAAACACAACAGAGATCAGGGACAAAGTCATTTTTCAATGCTCTTTCGTTCTCTGAAATGTGTCAGGGGTCTTCCCCATGCCACCCTTGAAAACAACACATGTACTCTTAAATACAGTATATGCACACAGACTTTTTCAGCCAGCCAGGTCTGATTTCTTTAAAAAAAAAGAGTGATCTTCACCGCCTGATTGATATACGATATAAAGTGGGTCTCACACCGAACTAAAAGCACTGCATTAAATTCCATTTTCCCTCACTGTGTCTTTAAAATACGCTAGCGGTTACACAGTCTTTCATCTCGTTAAACACTGGAACAACTAAATGAATGCTTAAGTCTATTTAACTGATTGTATTTTAATTACATTAAAACATCGATGTTGTTAAAAGAACCTTATGTAATTGAAAATAGTCACATTAAGCTTTCGCCGGAAATTTGTCATTGGCTGAAAAACACTATCCATTGAAACATGTTTAGATCTTGCATTAGCAGGATGAGGTTCTATAAATTACGACTGTATTATGTGTATTAATTGACATATTCTTTAAAAGGATTAAATTCTACTGCGACTGAATGTAACGTGCGTCTAAAAAAAATCACGACAATGAAGTAGGACATATTGCTGTGTATTTAAAGTCCTCAAGAAAACTATCCAGATTTTGTTAGCTCACTTTGCTAGTTTTGTGGTGAATTCATCTGAGCATGTGATTAAGAAAAAAAAAGTTTTCCCTTCTTACACCTAATTAAAATCTGAAAAGACAATTCCTTTTTCTGTTAAATTGGCAGATTATGTATATTTTAGGAATTGGGCATGGCTAACATTTAACCACGCCCCTCCAACTGTCTTATTAATATGTACAGTCTATATTAATGCTCAGATTCTCCATGTCTTGGAAAAACCAGCAACTTCTTAAATAAAATATGTAGCATATGTATGTCAGT